ACCCTGGTTTTGTCCTTAGCATGTCCTGAGCTCGGCTGTCAGGACACTGATATGCGACTCAGACCCCATTTCTATACCTTATGTTATTTAAGTATTTCACCAACTTTCGGTGCTTGGATGCACAGTCAGCAATAATATTTTCTTAGACACATTCTCTACTCCAAATAATAAGTTGGTCCGGGCACTGCTTTGCGGTCACAGCCGGTAGCTTTGTTGAGCACATGCTCGGATGCTTAAATACGGAAGTCGAGTGCATACAGAAACTAGAGCTCCAGTATCTTGGGGCAGCGTTTGTCAGTCGCCAAAATTAAATGAGTTGAGTAAGGCTGCGGTTTTTCTGACAGATTTGATTAAGTTGGACTGCAGAACTGGGAAGCTAGGGTAGAATGCAAACTTGTCGGCAGATTTAAAGACATCCTCCAAAGGGTGCCAGAACATTGTACTTAAAAAAACAAGCAAACTTTTTGTTTTGATACAAGACATAAAGAAGACAGGCTGGACCAAAATCGAAAGGTTACTCTTACCAAGAAAAAGTGTTTCAATATAAATTTATTTATTCCAAAATTAATTTTAATTTTTGATTTTAAGAAACTATACGAACTCACTCAAGGAACTGAACAGTTTTGCGTCAGGCAGTACACAAATTTGCTTCACCGTCATTAAAATTATAGGGAAAATAAATAGGTAGGGGAATGTTGTCAGGGTTGGGCCATATTTTGACCTATGTCCATAAGTTCTGAACGAATGACAATTTAGAATAAGTTTATACATTTTTGGAAAGGTACAAGCAAGACAAAGTGTTCACCAAAAATAGAAAATAAAAAAACAAAAACAAAAAAAGTTATAGGCGTTTGAAAAAAAAAAAAATGTAGTCAGCGTTGGGCCATGTAGTCAGGGTTGGGCCACCTTCTGAAAATCGTTGACAATATCGTAACGTGGTGGAATAAAATTCAATTCAGGTAATTCTGACATTATTTTGTTCATTTATTTAATTATTTGGGATTTTACAGTAAAATTATCAAATTATTCAGAGTTGTTTTTCGTTTGTAGCGAGAAACACTAAAGAAAAAGATAAAAATGATTCATCTTCTTTCAATCCATCAAAATATTTTTTTAAGGAAATCTATTTAATTTATTTTGCATATTTTTGCTACAAAGAACTTAAATATTACAACAAAAATCGAAAATACACGAATAAAATGTAAAAATTATGATGGCCCAAGCCTGACTACAAAAGTGGCCCAACCCTGACGACATGCGGTATTAATCTATTATGGTATGATATAGCCAAACTATATCTATCAATGAAACTATATCTTAGTATTTTGTAGTATAACACCTATATAACGTATTTTTATGCTCACTTTGCGGATGACGTGTTGTAATCTTGTGTTATTCCACATTTTCGGCCAGGTTAAAAAAACTTTTTCGAGCACTTTTTTTTCACAGAACAACGACACGTAGAAAAATTAAATCCCGAAATAAGTAGTCACGTGGAAAGTTTCGAGTGACCGATAGAAGTTTCTAGACACCCACTAACAGATGGTACTAGAACGAATATTCAAAATATTGAGATGGCCCAAGCCTGACAACGGTCCAACCCTGACAACATTCCCCTACTATATAAATTGGAAAAAAATTGAAGTCCTATTGCCTACGAGAAATTAAAATACAATTAAGGTTACACGCGTTATTATTTTAAAATTAGCCTTAAAAATTCATATGTGTTTTCTTTAGATTATATGATACAAAACTCAACCTTTTTTAAGGTTTATTAAGTCCTAAAATGGAGCAAGATTTCCCTGGCCCCACACCACTTATCGATCATTTACAAGATTGTCAGTTCCCTGGACCAATAAGGCAGGGGGTGACAAATGCAAATGAATTTTAATAAAAAAAAAAGTGAAAAAACCAGGAACTTTTATTTCAGAAGATATAGAGTATTTTATTTAAAAGCGCATGTCTTATTGTGCAAGTTATATCCCGACATATCCTTTGCTTACTTGTTATACTCGTACTCTTACTTTGGACTGATGTCTCAAATGAGCTGGAGTTTTGATTTGACGTTTTTACTTTTCAAAGCTCTAGTCAAAACCATCCCCTCACCCTTGCTGTCTGTTCATCCGTTCACTTGATTTAGAAAGCGCCAAAAAAAAAACACCTTCAACTTTTGTGACTAAACAAAAGGAGCGGCTTTTGTACTTTAAATTTGGTTTGCGGAAAAGACAGCCACAGGAAAAAAGTAATTTTTGTGTTTTTCCATGTTAACCTTGGAATTTAAAAGTGAGAGGGTAAAGAGGTGATTCAACGAATTAAGATTATTAAAATATAACAATAGAAGGATTTTGGCAGAGTATTGTTATGCTTTAACATTAAACAAATTGCAGTGACTTCTTTCCTCGCTTTTTATAAAAAAAAATCGATTTCCTGGTACGCTATAGATATTTCAAATTTATTTCTTACATGCTCACTAAACCACAAAAAATCTTAAATATTTAACTTCTAAAAAAACAGTATACATTTCACCAAGAAGCAAACTTTAATAAGACACACACCAATTAATTTAATTTGGCTGTTAGTATTAACACCTACCAAATTTTTGGAGTTTAGCAAACTTAAATAAGAGCTTACTCACGAATCAGAAATATATCGCCTACCAGTGTGTAGAGAAGATGATGTCAAAACATATGTAGAGAAAAAGACCCAACAGTTATATGTCGCTTTAAGAAACTTGTATAACACAAAATATAATTAATTAAACACAAAATATAATTAATTAATTAAATTAATTAAAAATCCCACGACTGTGAAATACCCTCTCTTTACTATTTAGATGCCTCTTCAGTTCCTTTAGTTTCCACAATATTGACGTTTAAAGGGACAGAAAGGGGCAATTGCTTTAAAGTGAACCTGGAAAATGTCATTTAAATGTACATTGGCATCCCATTAATTAACCTCTTAATTTGGCAAGAACTAGAAGATTATACGTTCGGCATACAAAAAGGCAGCTAGAGCGATATTAGAGATCAGATTATATCGATTAGCAATGCTGTTTAAGAATACAATAGAATTCTGTTATAACGACTCCGCTTATAGTGTCCGTCCGGGTTTTGCGACGAAAACTCTATTTATAATTTATGGAAAATAGGGAACACAGACACTCACTTCGTTATGTGACCCTGATCAAGAATATATATTCTTAATGGTGTTCCAAGGGCTTAAATTGTTTTATATTTATATATTTTACTCCACGGTCTAGCAGACAGAGCCAGTTTGTAAGCAGTGCTAGCAAGGACTCAAACATTTTTACATGTATATACTTATACATTACTATTACATATTACATTACTATTGTGCAGAATTATTTCACTGATTATTATCTATATTTATGGATTTTAGTTATAGCAGCCACGATATATATATAAAATTCATCTTGACAAAGCAATTTTTTTTTTTTTGTATAGTTTCAAATCTATAAATGTGTACTTCAAAAAAATATTATTAAAAACATGTTTAGTTATATATAATATTTATGTTATATATAAATTATGTATTAAAATATTAAAAATTTAAAGAAAAATGACATTAATTTTTTGAAAAAATTGTAAGAGGAGAATTGTAGGAAAAGCCAATGCGAGATGATATGTGGTAACCGAAGCATCGTTACATCCGAGATTAGTTAAGCTAATAATATACTGTGCCTCATCTGGTCTTTGGCAAGCCTCAACTGTGCACGAAATATCGCCAAAGCTTTGAGCCTGCACTGAAAAAAATAAAGGAGGGCAAGGCTCGAAATCGTAGCCAGTACACGCATCAGTGAGGTCATAGCTGAATGATCCCAGTGCTGTGGACTCGCATGTTTCTTCCGCCCTTATTGGTGCACTAAAGTTTCTAAATGGGAGTTCTATGCTTCGAGATGTGCATACAGTAAATGTAATGTGACTAATAGGTAAGATTTTAAGGTGGCGCATGCTCTGCCTAGCTGGTAGGTAAAGTGAATCCAGTCTGTAGAAATTAACGCTTCCCAAACGGATATATTGTTCTAGGGAGTTGGTTCCAAGCTCGCTAATATGACCGTCTAAGTAACAACGTGGATTTGAAATACGTCGGGGTACTGAAAGTTGTTCGTATCATAAATTAAATGTTTTGCAGGTACTAGAAGGCTTACCTTGCCGAATCCGTGTAATGACGGGGTCACCACAGCTCTCTGGTGTTTTTTCAACGTTTAGAAGGTACAAATCTTTGCTCGGGTCTTGCACAAAATCGTGGAATCTTACCAGTGCCCCACCGCCGTAGTAAATAAACTGCAAGTTGGGAAGACGCCAACGTAATCGCTCCATGAATTCCTGGCAATAGTCGTAGTCTTTCTCATCTACGTAAGATAAGGGACTTGGTATTAGAAGCACAACGAACGATTTTCCTCCAAGGTTGTCGCTAGCCTGGTCTGCGTTGAGCAGCTCTTCCATTTTAGAGCTCGCAGTACTTAAAATAAGCGGCAAATTAAAACCAGCTGGGTCTGTAACGGATACATTTAGTAAAAAGGATTTCATTCTTTCACTACATTATTACACCAATAGTGTGATGTCGAATTCCAATTCTCGTAGACGTTTATAATGTAGTCTGTGGTATTCACAATCACTGACGTATCAAAAGCTGCAAAAAGAGTCACCGTACTAGCGTGGGGATGTATATTTAGGCCCTGGAGAACATAACTGCAAAAAAGTTTGCGCTTGTTTATATTTTTTTTAATAATACTACTTATAAAGTAGTTCTTTAAAAGTACTCACGCAACGTAATCAACAACCAAGTTGTACGGCCAGTAAGTATCGACAAACACATATATATGAGTCATAGCTGTAGTTAGGTTGAACCGATCATTCCATGGTTGAAACGGAAAATAGTCCATAATTGCTAAACGTAATAGAAATGTGTACTTTAGTGTGTGTTTGAAGTGCATGTTGAACATATCGGAAACCACACTTTGAATAAAAAAGAGCCAGTGGTGTTCTAGTGGGGAACTTTATTCACGATTGTTGCACTGGAACATAGATCTTATTTAGGAAAAAATATAGGATTAAATAAAAACCGCAAAGTATCAGTTTATGTTATGGGGACGGGAAGATTGGCTTTGAACTCTGCTGCTGAACCTCTTCTGCTATCATAGTAAATACACCTGTCACTGAATTAGACTATGAACCAACAAGGTTAATACAATTGTAAGCAGGCTGGCTGCCAGGCCCGAGACACCGCTATAGCATCCCATATTGACCATGGACATAATGTAACGCCATTGGTCCGGCGTTTGGCACTCGTTTTGTGTGCAGGATGTGGTGTTAGAGGTAGCTTGGACTGACAAATACAAGTCTGGACACTGGGTGATAGTGTAGTAGCCGTCGCAGGCACTCGAAAGGTCGTAACTATAACTACTTCCAGTTATTTGCGAACAACTCTGATCAACTGAGGTTGATGTGGAGCTGGTAGTTGAGTTCTGTTGCGGCCATGCATATGTACGAGAAGAACATATGGTGTAACTTCCTCCATTTTGGGACTGAATGGTTAAATACCGATTGGCGCCAGTTCCGAAGAAATAATTGGCAGAGACTCGGTAAAAGTTGACCTTGCCAGGTCCCACATATTGGGCCGTTTGGTCAGTGCCCCAGCTACTCGTGTACCAGTTCGATCCACATCGTGGGTTAATAATGCGACGCGGAACTGCAAAAGAAAATACAAATTATCCACAAATTTAAGGTGAAGAATTAAGGTTCAACTACTTTGGATTATTCGTTTTGCTACGGGTCCAGCAGATGTCGCCGCTGTACTGCCCAAAGTCAGGGAGAAAAGATCCTGGGAGGGATCTCGGACAAAGCTCGAGAACCGCTGAATGCTTCCACCGCCATAGTATATGAAGCGCAGGTCAGGAATTTGTTCTTGGATGTACTGAATTTCTGTAGTGGCGTAGCTCGAGTCGCCATCATTAACTGTTTGTTGGTTTGGGATTATTAAAGCCACCAGAGAATGGCCGCTCAAACTCGAATTTGTTTTTTCTTCATTCATTAAGTTTTGTGTTAGATTCTGAATGGTCCGCAGCACAGTAGGAAGACTGAACCCCTGTGCATCTGTAGAAAGAGTATTTAAATTAGGGTAATTATTATAGAGTTTAAGCTTTACATGTCGCCTGCGTCGTCACATTCCATTGCTGATAGACATCAGTAATATAGTTTGTGGTGTTCACAATAACCGATCCGTCTTGTGCCGAAAGTATGGTGACAGTGCTGGCATAGGGGTGGACATTTAATTGCTGGATGACATAACTGAAAAAAGTTAAATTAAACTAAGATGTATATTAACAGTTGGCAAGACATCTTACACGACATAGTCCACAACTGTGCTGTACTGCCACGACGTATCCAGGAAAATATAGAGGTTGGTCATTGGTGTAATGACGTCCGTCAAGTCAAGGTTGCTAGTCGCCGTGCAAGAGACATCATTTAACGATTGTGCTGTTCAGGAAAAGTCAAGAGAAACGAAAATCGTAATGCACACGAAAACCGACATTGCATTTAAGTGGCTTTCAGTATTTTTGCAAACAATTTCGAGTTAATTAATTGCAGTGAAATTCGAATCTTTAAAAAAAACATGGGCTCTGAATAAATTCAAGGTGGTTCCGCGATGAAATCGACATTGAAAAAAGTAATAATTACTTACGCACATAGGTCACCAACGATAGGCTGGCGTTACCAGCAAATTGGGCAATAGTGGACGGAGTGAGGGTGACCCGTAGCTGCATCTCGCGGTCCAACACTTGAGCAAAGGCGCTAGCCTGAGCCTCCATTTCCTGAGATGGCGCAACGTTTGTAAACTGGCTTTGCCTACTGCAGGCATTGATCCCCGAACTGAGGACTCCATTTGTGGAGTAGTACATGCGAAGCAACTGGGAAAGCTTAAGGCTGGATGCCTGAGTCCTCCAGGCGGCCACATTCTTGGCAAGAATCAAGCCATCTAGGCCGCCACGGATTTCCGCATCGGTCGCCTCAAGATTGTAGCCTTGCGATAAGAAGTACCAGTGGGGTAAAACTGTGTCATTCCATCCACCCGTGGCTCCGACAGAAGCTACATTGCCGCTCGACCCTGGGACCTGGACCAACGCAACTTCTGCCAGGTCTCCGGCCAAAGTAGCCGCCCACCGATTGTCAATGGAGTTGCCTGTCTGGGACTGTCTGGCACGAGGGCCCGCGTTCCGCTGGGACGCCAGGGCCAACAGGGTATTCAACTGGACAGTCTGCTGCTGGACGCCAGCTGCTATTCCGGCAATAACGGTGCCGGCCGAAACCGTGCCCCAGCGGGTACGAACGAGGCCATCCTCAACGGGGCACTGACTTATCACTTCCGTGCCGGCATAGGCCCAGTCGGAGTCCATCTCCAGTCCCGCGGAAGACCGTCCCCTCTTCGGACTGGCCCCTAGCCATTCGACGTCCCCAACGAAATTGTTATCAAAACCCTTCTTCAAGGATCGCGGCAGGCGCTGCGCTCTGTACTGAGAGAGTTGGTTGCACACAGTGTTCTCGTCGCCGCGAGGGTTAGTGTCGAAGGTGCTCGACAGCATAAAATGCAGCGAGCATCGCTCCACCCTGGTCAGGGAACTGTTGGGGAAGCTGTTGGCGTTTCCGGGAATTAAGCGCGATAGCAGTATTTTGAACTTTGGAAATTGGAAGCCGGTTGGGCTGTACGGAAGCACTCCGTTTCCGGCGTTGATTCCATTGGCCTTCTTAATACCATCTTGGCGGAAACGGTGCAGCAAGGATACCGCCACGGTGCGGATGTCGGCTTGCACACCTGAAGAGCTGGCGTAGCTGTTCTCCACCTTCTCGATTAGCGAAATGAGCGTGTCCATGTTGGCCGGAAGACGATTGTCCCGATTCATAAAGAATGATGTGTTGTAACACTCAACCAGTGATGGTGGAATTTGCAGCATCGTGTTCTCCTGCGCCTGTGCAACGCCCAGGAAAAGGGACGCGCACAAGCAGACGGCTGTTGCCAGAAAGTTTTTCGTTTTCATGGTATTTCGTTTTCGTTGTATGCCTTGAATAGAGTAATAGGAAAGTTGAATACGCAGCCTATAAACCTCAAACTATGAATTGACCATGACACGAAACTTTTCTAGCTTATTGGTACTATCGTCATATGTAACTCTGATATAGGCAGGCAATACTCACACACACTGCTTTCCTATCGCAAGTGCCTTATCAATGGTCAGGGGTATTAGCTCTGGATGTCTCACTATATCTACCTAGATATCGAGAAAATGTACCGTTTTCATGCCATTTTTTACTGTAGTTAGCCGAATACTTGGCCATTGACTAAAGAAATATTTATTTTCATTAATAGCTGCCCACAGATGTGTTTTTGAAATGCTTATATATTTGGCCATCTCCGCATTTACAAGACCACGCAGAGCGGCGGTTTTACGAAGGTAACACCGCTCACAAATATGGTGTTATCAGAATAAAAATAAAGCGCGATAGGAGCAACTCATGAGTCAAGTATACTTTATATATATTTTGAAATCAGTCGGAATCATTTAATAGTGTTGTTCGATCCACAGAGTTTGTTTGGAAATGCAAAGATGGCTTTAGTTATAAAGATGACTTTGTCAATAGATATTAATCATTTACTGACATCCATTTTAACTTTTTCTTTAATTTATTTTCATTATCCACATCACTTTGAGCTATTATCTGTGTTTAGACCACTTGTTAACAGTTTTTTTTTAGGCAACGAAAATCCAACGTTTAGATTAATTTAATTGAAATGATGTATATAAAATTTAAATTTGTATAAAGAGCCTGCTATCTCAATTTATGAAAACGGCAATTTAAACACAAATGAGTCATGTAAACTTTAGTATTACTATATACGGGAGAATTATCAGTTTATATACGATTTCGGGAGTACTGTCGTAGTTTGTCCCATAAAGATTGGTAATACCACACAACTGATAGCAGCGATACTTTGCGGTTGGCAATACATAGGAACATGAGTCAGGTGTAAAATACACAAATAAACGTTGAGGACCAACGCCCCAGTTTTTTAAGTCAACCTATTTAAGGCGCTTTGATTAGATAACAAGTTCAACATTTTTAAAAACACGAATGCTTATAAAAAAAACCCTTAATTCTTTGGTATTTTTCTTCTTACTTTTAAGCACAGAATACCGAAGATGCACTAAATAACAAAAGATCGATGAATAATGTTTTAAAAACGGGCACTGTTCTTTTTAACGCACTTTAAAATCGTACCTTTTCACCTGCTCGCCTTTTCGTACTGAACGTCAACTCTTCTACCTTGTTAGAGCTTGCCCAAGCTTCGAATAAACCTGCTTATCAGTAAAAAGTGATAAGATATGGTTTGTTGGGTCTGGGTAAATTCTTGTGCAAAATAACTGGCTTGCGTTGCACAGTGTTTAAAAAATTTTCGTTGACATGCTTCTATCTATTTAAAAGCACATTTATTTATTTTTAAACTATCGAAAACTACTTTGAGATGCAAAACACAAAATTAACTGCATTCTAGATTCGTTAACATCGAAGCAATATTGTAAAAAAATAGATCCTTGCGGTGGTCTGTGGAAGTTAAATATAATTTATGTAGTAAGTTATGCAGTTGGAAAATGTTTGGATCGTTAAAACTAATTTTAACTAATTAGGATAACCGCATTTCTCCGAAGTCTAAAATTTAAATTTTATATGAATAGTTAAAATGAATACATTTTAAGTTACGTTTACATTTACTTTTATATTCCTTTGGGCTTGTGATAACGCTAAGTATAGGCCGTAGGGACGCACAATGTGTACAATGTCTACCAGCTCAACTGGGCAACGTTGTGGGAGCCACGCGGAGCTACTGGAAGCTGCTGGTGGTCGCGGTCTCCAATCTGAGCGGGCATAAAGGTTAAGGTGCAATGTTCGCGCAGGCCTGCGCCGCACTTCCCTTTTCAGATGTGGACTGGATTGGTAAAGGTGGGCCTCCATCAAGGCCTTCAGAAAGGAATGGCGCACTTATTGAGCCCCTAGTTGCTCGCCAAGCTCGGATCCGACTTGGTGACATTCGGTATCTATTAATATGCAGTGGGAGAACATTAAACCCTACATACAAACAAAAATATTTAAATACAACTTGCCTTAAAAACGAGTCGTTTAATTGAAAACCTTGTTTATGTGTGGCGCTACTCTGTGGATTCCATTTTGAGCACAAACTTTTCCATTACGGTATTCAGGCGCTTGCGTTCTTTCAACTGTTGTTGCATTAACTCCGATATTTGAGTGCCCAGAGCTAATAATGCCGTCGTATTATTTTCAGTTCGCTGGGCGTTTAAGCGGGTTTGTCTGTTTAAATCGCGCAGTTCCTTAACTATGTCCATTAATACCGGAACAGGGTTGTGGTGCTCCGTTTCCAAAGAATCTTCATCCTCCAGCTTTCGTTTTTTAGGAGAAATACGGGGAGTATTAGGGATTAGGCGTGGCTCTAACTTTACACCCAGATTCCTATTATTGATAGGGCTTTCGAAATCTTCGTCTTCCTGATCCTCATATTCCTCTAGAATCATAAAAGTGTTAAATAAAACTTGTGTTACTTTTAATGCCTTGGTTTGTACCATTATCTGACAATGTGGCGTCATCGTGGTCAGATTTTATGCTTTGCCGAGACTGGCCTTGAGGCAACTCGACTTGGGCCTTGGGGCGGGCTTCAACGATGGTGTCTGCCATATCGTACAAGTCACAGATCACAGCCACTGCATCCTCTAGAGGTGTGAGAGTGTCTTGGTACAAAGATCCTTTGCCAGTGACCTTGGAGTCCTCTAGACGGTTGTTGGTAATCTTTTTTCGAATGCAGCTCTTCCAATCCTTCCACACCTGTGGACTCGCCACTTAAGAAGACGGCTTTTATATGTACATAGGATTCCGAAAGACTTACTCGCTTCCACTCGCAGGCCTCTTTGACAGGGGGACCTACACTGTTGAGCTCTTTCGACAATCTTTTCCAGGCGGCCTCCGCAGCCTGCTTGTCCCCTTTTAGGTAATTTTTCGATATGATTGGATGCCGCTCCATAAATGCAACAAATATGGCATCCTGCTGCGCGGTTCTATGCTTTCCCCTACGCACAATTATTAAACAATTAATGTTTTCACAAATGTTAGTTTGAATTACTTACATGACTCCAAATTGAAGTTACAATCACGCAAAGTTGGCGAGTTACATTTTTGAATTCGACAAGTGCTTCCTCACAATAACTTATCGTTAATAAATTAATATCTTCTAATTTATGCTTGTATTTTGATTTTTGTTGCCAACAGCGACCAGTGTGGCTGCCATTTTAGCTTTTTTATGGCTAGATATTAGAGCGCACATTTCGGTCATCGACTTTCCCCACCATGGTTCAATACATGGCTTTAACAGAAATGCGGAACAGGGCTATCGTTATCGCTGTTAGAAATCTTAACATTTATGTTAGTCTTAACATTATGTTATTACACCATGGTTCAATACATGGCTGTAACAGAAATGCGGAACAGGGCTATCGTTATCGCTGTTAGAAATCTTAACATTTATGTTAGCAAATCGCTGTATTCTAACATTTTGAGTACAAAACAGAGTCTCTTACAGCGTAAATGCTAAAAACGACTGAGTTTTCTGCCAAAACTAATGAATCGGCGCATTAAGAATATTTAATATTTGTACTATTTTTCTGTTAATATAAAAAATAAAATGTCTAAGCTACTTGCGCAAAAATTTTGGTATATTCGTATAGACTCCATTTACAAAAAAGAACTGTGACACAACTGTTTCAGAGACCACAACCATGTAAAATACGAAAAATGTAATTGTAAATAAAAAAGCCGGTTTTCAAAAATGTAAAACCAGTTTATTCGAAAACATGTTAACCCATGGTTATGGTTGGAGTTGCAACCAACAAATATACTTATATTTGATCAACAAACGTTTTGCAGCAAATAACTAGAGCTCGATGTAGCCACTGATCTTTTTCCTTTGACTCACGTATAGGAAAACATTTACCATAAGGGGATGGGGTAAAAACTTTAATGGAGGCATAATAGAAGTTTGCGAAAAATGATTGAAAACCCAAAAATAGTAAATTTTAAATTTATATTGCACGATTGAGCGAAATGCAAATTTTAACCAATTTAGAAATGAAAGGAATTTTATTATTTTTGGGTACACGTGTTCGTGTAAGCTCACCATCATCATCTCCATCATCGCTTTTTCTCATGTCGTGGTAAATCCATTAAAGTTTTTAACTTGTGTTTTATGTACTTGAGCGCAAATTTGATGCCCGCACGCAATAGGGCGTTTGTCTCCCCATTTCCACTGCTTTCTTCACCTTCAGCATCCTGACCGTCAGAGTCCAGCCATCATTTTATTGCACTTGAAAACTTAATTAGGCCAAAATGCGGTGTGAACGCCTATTGATGTAGGAGAGAATTTCTGTTTTGCCAGCTGTGCGGGATTTTTATTACATGCATCAAATGTAATTTGTTACAAATTTGATGTGTTCCTATCTTCTTAAAAACGGCATAAATAAAAAAGTTGTTGGTAAGTTTTGGGGGTTGACGGAGATTGAATTGAAGCTGCTTGTGTTGATGGGCGGTTTTTCTTCTGACCCATCATTTAAATGCGTTGCAGGTTTTATGATCGGTCAACTTTTGCTTTCACCTGAGAGGTTGTGGGCCAACTATAACATTTTTGCTAAGATTGGAAACCTTAGGGGCTTAACACTCCCCTTCCCCTCACTATACCCCAAAGCTTACACACATTTCAGTTATGTCGAACGTGTTCCTTCTTCATATAAATGTAAGAGCCTGCACGGAATGCCACGGAGTCAATTTAAAGTATCCCAAGTATCGGAGCAGGGCAATCACTTTGTACCAAAAATATGTAAGTTAACCCTAGGGGTCTTCGTTTTGATTTAACACTACGGGGCACTTTGCGCACTGACACCATTTCTAATTTTACTGTTTTGTAAATCAAGTTAATTAGTTAGTTAACTTGATCAAATCAATAAAAAGTACTGTTGCTTGGATAAATTCTCATTTTCCACTTCTCTGTCTTTTGGAAAAGTATTTCTTTTTTGGCTCCACAGTTGGTGGTGGAATATACACCACAGCCCGAGGTGTTTTTTGTGCTTAGCTTGTTTGCTTCGTTAGCATTTCGAGAATTTGCATCAAAAAATATAAACAATTCTTTTTTTTATTGGTGTTGAAAATATTCTCAATCTAGTTTTGTTTTATCCTGGAGTGTGTCTAACAATCTAAGTGCCAAGTTGTGCCCCGACAGGAGGGTAGTCAAATTTATTATTCAAATTTCCGCTGCTGGCTAACTTGCATTTATTATTGAGCATTACAACCATATATTCAGAATTGTTTTAATTCACTTAAAAATACATAAATTTGACTTTACATGCAAGGCGACAACTCACGTGCCCCTGAGCGGTATGTATGCTTCCTAATTTTCAATGGATACCACAAAGTCTTCGCGTGTGTGAGCAAGTGCGAGCTGCTCGTTAAAAGCTACAAAAATGTCGCGAGAGAGACTTTAGTTAAGCTTGCTTAATTCTTTCAAAAACACACTCTGCTGTCTGATGATTCGTTAGTTGATCGCTCGAGTGCAAACACTGCAGTTCATCGCAAGCCCACATTGACAAAAATCTTATCGTAAAACATTTGTTAATAAATCAATACTTTAAGCATGCTTTCCCATTGGTATTGCGAAGGTCTTGGCTTGGCACTGTTATGGTTATTGGCGCTTGCTACCCCTACTCGTGCGAAGTTGCGTAAGTGATCAACTGCTAAGAATGGCGATCGAGGCCTTTAACATCGTTGTGGGACTCGCATATATACTGAAAAAAACCTAATAACTTTCCTGGTAGCGTCCACAATCAGACCATGCGCCCGCGATGATCCTGAATTGGAGCGCTGCATCATTAACGCTGTCTACAAAATAAAGCCACTTCTCGTTCATGGAAATCTGGGAGATGGCTATAAAACTCCTCCATTAGAGCCATTGTCGCTAGATAATATCGAGCTAGGACGCAGTAGTCACTTTCAAGCAGTTTTTACGGATCTTGAGGCCGACGGAGGGAGTAACTTTATAATCGACCGTCTAATGTATGTACGTGCAAATATGTATAGAGATAACGTTACTGAGTTATTTATATTTTGCATAAAGAGCCAAGCCGTTAGATATATCTTACGATCTTTGGATTACCCTGCCACGCATTGACTTTAGAGGAAAGTACTCATTGCACCTGAATTTGCTACTGCTAGATATAAAGGGAAGGGGAAACATGCAGGGACATTGTGGTAGGTCCTGACTATAAAGATAATGATAAAAACCAATTGTATTCTTTCCAAACCAGAAAATGCAAAAGCATTTGTTAAAATGCGCGGCGCTCGCTATCTGCGAAATGGTAAAGACTATGTCAAATTTACCAAGATGACCATGCGCATTGATTTCAAGGACTTTAAATTGAACCTAGAAAACCTTTTTAATGGCGATCGGATTTTGGGAGATGTGGGAAACAGTCTGATCAACAACAATCAGGAATTATATATAAACGAAATTGTGCCAGGCTTAGAATACGGTCTTTCTAAAAAGTTTTTGGATGTCGCGAATGAAATCCTAGCGACGGCGACCTTTGATGAAATGTTTCCCCCTGGAAGGACTGTAGTTAATCCCATTACATATCCGTCGTCAAAACCATTATCGGGTTCCGGTCCAGCTATATTTGAACACCCGGGCTCTTCTCGAAACCCCGATGACAGCATTTTATAAACTCTATAAGATTGCAATTTATTTATTTTCAAAAAAAAAAATTTTACACCCTTTTTAAAGAAAATTTTTTTTGTAAAATAAACAACAAAAACATTCAAAACAAGATTTTTCGTTTGTGATAAGGCCAAAAAGTGACTTACAACGAAACCAAACATAGTTTTGAGCACCTTATGAATAAAGTTAACGAGCCCAAACACTTTTTGAACGGTTAATAATTTTTAGCCAATTTTTGCATTTTTGGTATCATCATTTTTTGCGAAAAATGTCATCTGATTCAGGCTTTTTTCTTTATAATTTTATGCAATTTGTTCCATATTTTAGATGATTTTTGTGTGTTGTTTGGCGAAGAAACAACTTACAGCAAAACAAAGAATAGTTTTGGAGACCAGAGAAGCCCAACTATCTATTTGATTCCTTGGAATTTAATTGTCATCCCCTTACCCGTGGCAAAAATACGAAAAATTGTTTGTTAAGAAAATGGCTTAAATCCAGCAACTGAAAGCCCATAAGTTTTCTTAATAATGTCCGATTTCGGATTGGTATACCACAAAATGCTTGTGACGTAATCCCCCAACTGCACCTTTAGTTTGGTTTCGATTTTTGGGTCGGTATTTTTTTCGCATTTTTATAATGTAAGCCCTAGAAAAACGACGTTGCAAGCTCGGGCTGTAAAATATATTAGTCCAGTGCAAAAATAATTGTTATTCGGTATGGTGTCTTACTTTTTGGTTCCCCATTTTTTCTGACACAGGTCCATTTTCTTCTGGCGTTCCTGGAAAACACAGCAAAACTTTTTAATCCACTACCAAACCAGGTTTTGCATATTGGGCTTACACTTTTAAAATGTGTGTTCACCTCCTAACGGCACCGCGGGGACAGTTTAAAGGGCACATTTATACACTTTTTCAGCTCTGCACCTGTTCAATGGGTCAGGCGAGCAGCGTTCTTTCTTTGATTAATCACCGGCAGCGACAAAGATGAATTTACAGAGATTTTTTCGTTAAAAGTTTTTACTTTCATTGTGAGGAGTGGGCAGTTAATTGCGTTGGATGGACTTGAGAACCACCATCACCCCAAAAAAAAAGTGTTGCCCCCCTGGTGAAATTCAGCTGGCTCTAATTAAATTCATGCGACGCAGCTGTCACTGGCAAGAAAAAAGCATTATCGACTTTTAGGCGCTTAATATTTCAAATGAAAATGTTTTTGATGTAAACAGAGGAAGTCAAAGGAAAACCTTGGCAACATCTTACACGTCCGTACTGGCCAATGCCTTGCAAAGTGTCGCCGGCATTAATTTCATTTATTAATTTTTAACTACGCCCGCGCACCAAAATAAAAGGAACTTGATAAATGAGGAGCTAGCAGGAGAAGCATTACGTAGAGCTTGCGCTGGGAGGTGGTTTTAAATCTTTTTCTTTTCTTTCATTGTGCGCGGCCCCATTTTTGGTTGCTTCCTTTTTTCCATTGCTTTTCTCTTCCGACCTTTTTTGTTAATTTTTTTTAATTCTTTGCTTTTCACTTGAAAGACGCTCAAAACGTGGAGATGCGCCGAGGCCCGTTAATGTCCTTTCTTTTATCATTAAGTAGAAAACGTGGGTGTCTTTTTGGTGGATGGTTGGTGGATGGTTCGTTTAGGGCGTGGCAAGTCCGTTTCCTTAGATAGGATGGGGGTGATGGGGATACGCAGGTATTTCAGCGGCCATTAGAGAAAAGCCTTACTCTGTCGGCTTAAAGTTCTAAAGTAGCTACTTTTAAACTTTGATGGAACAGCGCACCTTATGTATACGGCAGAAGACATAATGTTAATAATTAATAAGCAATTTATATAAAGCGCTTACTTGTTAGAAATGGCGTTCTAGTTGCACCAAAAAATGTAAGAGATTTAATTGTTTTTCCCAATATCATTTAAGTCACACAAACTAGATTTGGCTAACATTGGTTTCATTCCTGGCAATCTGCTCACAGTCGCAAGTGCAAGCAAACTGGGCATTAGGGTAGAGATCCACGATTGTTGGCGATGCGAACCGCTCTTCGAAGGAGGCGTACTGGCGGTGGTGGTGAATGAAGTCAAGACTGACTTTATCGTTGAATCTGCGGTGGGGCTTATCGCCTAAAACTTTATATCTCTGAAAAAGTTCTCGCATTATTTCATTGGGGTACTTAAGATAATTTCTTGGGATGGGGTATGGGGTAACTGCCACATTACATCTTAGTTTTGGTTCATCCTGCATCACCGATGTCTTCACATTGTCGTTTTCCCACATACCTTTTTGGATTTGACCAGTTAGCATGTGATAGAACACTCCCTCACCGTTTTTGTATCCACGTGCAAAGTGTCCTTCATAACGGTTTCCATTTGCTGGTTTTTACAATACATGTTATAGGGGAAGTATATGTTAAACTCCTTTAATATACGAACCGTAAAACATGACCCCCAGCCCGTGTCGAAAATCAGTCTCCCACTCGCCCGCATAGATGCTCCCATCTTTGTACCATTGAATACCCAGACCGTGTCTTCGGTTTCTCAGCCATTTTCCGAAGTAGACGCAACCGTCGGGATAAAACTGCTTGCCCTCGCCACACTTCATGTCGTCGTACCACCTTCCTGAATATATCAGATGTACATCAGTCCCACGTTTGCGTAGCATCGATCCGACTCCCTGCCGCTTGTTCATCACCCAGTGACCCTCGTAGACTAGCTGCCCTTCAGGCTGCTTCTTTCCCATAAAATATTGTGAACTTCGTTTGGCCGTCTTTTTTACGCCCCAGCCATGGTGCTTGTTGCATAGCCAGTAGCCGGAGTAGGACCCACCTCCTGGATAAAAAAAGGTGGCTCTCCTGCCTGAGCTGCAGACAGGTTTATTGGGGCAAAAGTAGCGCTCCAAACAGGTACTCATGCTCAACGAAAATTTGACCTAGACGTTTAAATGTATGCTAATGTGTAATTTAGTATTTTATCATTTGGACACACACTAAAACAATTTCGAAAATCGATTAAACTCAAAGGAATTCGTGGCAAAAAGAATTAAAAGTTTCCCTTTTTAATAACCTAGAAAAGAAACATTTTGAATTAAAATACGCTCTGCAAACATATACGAAAATTAAATTGTATCGATATTTTCATAACTGCGCCTTATATTAGATAAGAACGGACACTTTAAGGCTTATTCTCCAAACTTCCTAAAATATTTAAGGAGATGTGCATACCGTACCAAACTACATATACATCATTTACAGGCTTAGCCGAACCTTTCCACATGTCAAAATCACACCTTACACGTAAAAGTTTTTTTTGTTAGGCTTGGGCTTGGGTTATACAAATCAAATGCAAATTACAGCAACTCTAAAGTTTGTAAAGCAAAAAAGGTGAGCGGCTGTGTATAAATTGTGGTCATTGATTGGGTCGACCTTTTATGTTGTTCAAATCTTTCGATGGGTGCAACCCTCTTTGGTTAGCGTCAAAAATCTATTATTAAAAAAAAAGGCAAAGAGTTATAAATGCCGAATATATTTTTGTACTGGTGATATGCCAAAAACCATGTTGTGCTTCTATGGCATCATGAGGAATATAAATCACTCGTAAAATTAGAAATCAATAACTGATTTTTGTCATATTCTTGCATGCTTGTCCAATTCGCCCACATATGAGAAATATAGTTATATACTGGCTTTTTATAAATTAATGACAAGGAAACTTGCAGTATACTATTAATTACAGATTAACTACCTCGATTTCTTTGCTCTCAACTCAACCAAGCCAATGGTTGATCAGTTCTGATTATTTCCATTTCCGGGTGTAACTGAAGCGGATATCTGCCTGTGGGCAAAATAATTGCAAGTGACAGGCGCTTTAATTTTTCTTCTTTTTCGACAGCTTTCATTTGCTCCGGACTGGGTAGCCATGTTTATGATAAACTTAATTCAGTGTAAATGAACGGTCTGCGGGGTAATGGATATGCGGAAGGTCTTTGAAACAAATCACAGAGGAGCAAATTTTCGGTCTTGTTTTGATAAACTTCAAATAAACAAATCAGGGAAAGAAAAGAAAAAAAGAGATACTGTAGAAGGTAAAACTTTTTGGGTTTTCGGTTGAGTGAAATGGAAAATTTTAATTGCACTGACTTATGAGTATCAAGAACTGCTTCAAATATACATAAATAAATTTGTATATGTTTATGAACAGTTATTCAAAGCAATTTAATATCGAAATATTTTTTATTTCTGAGAATTTACAAGAACGAGAAAGCTAACAATTGCGTGACGAAAAGACTGTTATGTCTGTATCATCACGCATGGTGATGCTAATGAAAGAAATATTTTTTATTATTTTAAAATATGTTATCGTTATGAGTCTTCCACTAAAATTGTAAGGTTATCTGTATAGGAAGAAAAGGTTTGCAAATCTCGAATCATTAAGCGTTACCAATTGAGGGGATTGACCCAACTCTTATGAAGTTTACATTTTCAAAAAGTGCTCACAGGCGAAAACAAGGACAGAGTGTGGCACGCACACGAAATACGCAAATTGCAGATTTTTCTTATTAAGTTCATGTCAGATAAGCCGAAGAGCGTGGGGACGTACACACGGGAGCCATAAATTTTTTGGACCGATGCAACCCTTGAAAAACAGCAATAATTTCTCTTTGTTAGATGGTTCGGTTAGGTAGTGAGCTTCTTTTCTGTTCGCAAACTCTCACAACCAGTATTAATGAAACAAAACTGCTTCAGCAACAGCGTTTTTTTTTCAGACTATTCTTAAACTAAACAGATCCTTTATATTTCTATTCACTTTCCAAATTAAATAATGTATTTTATATTAGCAATGACAGTGAGCGCTTTTGTACCAACTTAACTATATATGTATGTGTACACTTGATCACGCCCCTATCATTTTATAACAAAGGGTGATACTTGCTAATGCCTTTTTGCAAGGGGTATTTCCCTTAACATATTACATAAATATATATAGATATTCATTGACAATATCAATGGTGTAAAAGAGTAGGAGGGATGCAGCTCGTTTCAATTTTTGTATAGGTGGGAGGAGCCCATTGTTTTAATTTAACCCTTTTTAACTCAACCCTTGCCCAGTGGGCAGTGACCAACCAACCAATAAGGTTTAAGCAGCTGGTTAACCCTTTCCGCTAAATAAGGGTGGCAGCGCTTGCCACACCCACCCAGCTGCAGCCCACCTAGAAGTTAAACAAGTTTTATACACTTTGACAGTGCTTTAGAAACAAAAAAGTCTTGAGATATATTATAATATAGTTATGATACCTACCGGCCCTTGTATCTTCTTGTTAATCATGGTACACATTTAAAGAAATGGTCAAAAACTATGTGTCTTTTAAGGGAACTCCATACAGTTTCTAAGGTTTATATGATTTACTCGTATAATAGATTTCTGCAAAAAATACAAAGATATATCAGCTTCGCCAGGACGAAATTAACCATTTTTTGACATATCAAAACTTTTCTTCTTTGATTTGCATGCGCAAAGTTTCTTCAAATGGAAAGAAAAGCAAAGCACGAACACCAAACAAAATTTGTAATGGAAATAAATTAACAGTCCAGTGATTATTATCAAAAGCAAAAAACGAGGAAGCCTAAACAAGTGCCTGTCCTGTGGTCCTCCTATTCCTCAAACGCGTCCTGCTTTCTAGCGACCAATTCAGAATTAGAAAAGGGCATAATTTTAATGAACTTTTTTCTGAAGTCCCGGCCAAATAAATACTCTGGTAGCCAAGGCAGCTGCCAAAAAGGGACTTATAAGTTTGCATTCCCTTTTGCCCACTTGCCTTTGCTTTTGAGTTGTTTCGTGAGCTTCTTTGATAGAAGTTTGTTTTTCAAAGGTTTTCTTTTCGAAAATAAAAATTATACTATGTTGATCTGGGCTGGTTTAAATAGCAGACGTTATTAACGGCTCTGACATTAATCAGTAAACTCAATCGATGTCGGTTGTAATTGCACCGCTGTAAACTGAGTGTTCAGTCCCTTTATATAACTGTTTTCTAAAATGAAACTCAAATTTCGAATGCTGCAAGCCAAAAATAATAGGGGTAGCAATTGCTCTGGTTGCAACACCTGCTAAAAACATTTTAAAACAATTTAACTAGGTATGTAAAACGAATATACAGAAATTACAGTTACATTGAACATCTTAGTTGTACACCATAAAATTAATTGTATATTTAAAACGTTTATGATAAGTATACATATTTAATTATTGAGCTGGCCAATTTTAAAAGCATTTTAAAATTGTGTTCCCTTTTTTTGCAAAGAAACAGTGGCATTGAAAACAAATAATTGATAGTTTTCAATAGTCTGGGGAGAAACAAATCCGAAATGATTGATTATAGGTTGACCAGTCAGGTAGCCATTTAGGGCCGCAATTTGCTCGTAAGCCCAATCTTGCCTAATATTTTACGCTCATTTAGGGCATTACTGAAACAGCCAGCGGATTGTCTTCCACGCACCCTCCTTCCAACAATAGCCTTAACTCTTGAGCGGGCCCAAGAAGAATTGCAACTGTGGATCAAAGGATCACAATGAAGCGGATGGGAAACTTAAACCGACGCCCGCTTGACATTTGGCTGCTAAACAAACAAATACTGAAAAAACCGGAGAGAGGTATAAGAACGTAGAAAAACGGACAACCTGGCATCTAACGATTCAGTGCGGGGGTGCGGCCCAGGTCAATCAAGGCCTAGAGCCTAGCGTACGTTTGTGCGCAGTTGCACTACGGTGTTGCCTTTCCTATCTGCAAAGAAAAAGAATATGATTCCCCTTCCTTGGTAAAAAATTGAAAACTGAAATTGAAATTGTGTCATTTCATGCCAAGACCTGGAGCGAGGACCGGGAAGGAGCCAGGGCCCATATACACCTGGTCTTCAAGCAGTTTTATGCTCTTTGTGTTTTCTGCTTCCTCTTAACTGTCATTTTTAATTGTTTGCGTTTAACGGTTATCAGCCGGGTACCAACGAATACTGAGAAGACCAAATTTATCGAAATTTTTGTTTTTCCTCGGGCTTTTTATGGCCTGAACTCTTGACGTGGCCAGTTGCCCATTAAGCTTTCTTTTAAGGGCCATTCAGCCCCATTCTTCGCTGCCCGCTCCATGCCTTTCTCTATCACAGCGCTTTGCACTTGAAAAATTTGCGCATGCACAGCAATTTCTTGTCTCGTCCTTTACTTTGTTTCTCATTTTCATTTCCCGTCTTGCTTACCCCGTGTTCCAATCTTAATTTTTTGTTGATGCTTCTTTGGGGTTGAAAATAATTCATTTATGCAAATGAGGGGGTGTTTAAAATTAAGCAAAAAGCACGTAGGCCAACGAAGCGGTACCAACTACAACAACAGCAAGAGAAGAAGGCTATAATGAAGGAGGTGACTAGCAAAGAATGAAGAAGGAAAAGAATAAAGCTTCGCAAAGGCAATAAGGGCATTATACAACTTTAGAAACAACAGGGTCCCCTTTTGGGATGAAGATGCGATTTTCCAGCTTTCGTTTAGCACCTTTATGAAATTTTTGACCGATCCTGCTTATATATGCGGCTTATATACTACCTTCCAGCCCAGACTTGTAACAGTGACTGGTTTGTGTAGGAATGAAAAGCCGGACGGACTGAAATGCCATTATGAAGCGCCTGGTCATGTCAGTCAAAAAAAAAGTACACATTACGGATCAGCAGGTATCGCATTCAGTTATCTACCATGCAACATTAACCGGTTCAAACTGCCTCGTATCGCAAAATAAACAGATCGTTTTTCTCAGCAAATTGATAAAGCCTAAGGGTTCCCCATTCCTTTTGCGAGTATGACCCTTTCCAGCGCCAACCACAATCGCAATTCAAGGCACTGAGAGGAGTAGCTGAGCCTGATCTTGGAAAAACATGACATTTATTACGCTCTATTAGCGATGAGAGGCAAGTCAGACAC